GGGGGGGGGGGGGGGGGGGGGGGTTCATGCTGCTGTCCCTTGCCATCGGCTACACGCTCCGTGCGCATACCTTGCCCAAAACGTAGACGTTCACGGCCAGCTTGTCGCTGATGTCGATCAGCATGATGGGGAAGTGGTTCTGGCGGCACACGATGTACACGCAGGCTGCCACGATGTTCATCGTCTTCCGTCCCTGTCGTAGGAAACACACACACCACCACCAAGCGGTTCGTGAGAGGGCGACAGTCAGAGGACAGGCTGGAACGGGCGAACATGTCCAACCGTTAGCGAGAGTGGACACGCGGTTCTTTAAGCATACCGAGAGGGGACGACCGACAGCATCGAAGTCGGAGCAGTCGAGGCATCGCGCCGAGTTCAGGAAAAATTATTGCTTTTGGTGCACCGTAGTTGGGCCACAAGTTGGACCAGGGACCCAAAGCACCTGTGCGTTCGTGCCGTTGGGCGTGGGCTACATGTTTGCCGGCACAGCAGCGCTGTCTTGGGGGGCAATTTGTGTCTTGTAGTCGCAACTGGTGGGGGAAAAGCCTTCTCCTTCGGTAAACCAACATCCAAGCAACACGAAAACCTCATATCCAAAAGCGCTTCAAATCCCGCGAGTTGACCAGGGTCGGCACAAAAAAAAAACACATATGTTCTGAACCTTTTTCGTGGTTGTCACAAAAACAGTCACAAAACACAAGGCAAAGGGGCGTAAAATGTACTTATCGACAATATAGTAGTCGGGACAGACAACCGAGACAACGGGACACTACGCGCACCCACCTGAACGTAGTTTTGGGTGACGCAGAGCGCGAAGAGTCGAGCTGCTTCATCCGCGAGCGTGGTCCTCAGGTGCAACTGTGCCAGGACCTAACGAGGCAGCAAAGACACAATAAAAGCGTTATTACAATAGCCTGGCTTAGAATGTTCCCCCGCACCAGGCTTCACCGCAACTTCGGGAACATGATCGGCTTGACTTGATGGTCCAGCCAGCGCGGCGCCAGAATCACGGGGTCGCCGCGAGGGTTGGAGAGACAGCAGCACGGCGGCAGCTTCCTACCAAGCCCTGTCTCTCCCCTCTGGTGTATTGACCTTCTCGGTGAGAGGATGAGACTCGCAATAAACAGAAACCAATGTGGCTGAAAATAGCTGGATGCCTGCTATACAGAGCGCATGAACATTGGTTTGTCTCCTCCCGGAGCGACAAATGACGATGCTCGAGCAGACATTGTCGTTGTTCATCCGGCGGACAAGTGACCTTCGAAGGGTACATCTGTATTCGGGATCAAGGGTGAACATGTTGTCGGACAAATCTCCCTCTCGGTCTCACCGTAGAAAATCAATTTGATGGATGATGTGACCCGTCGCGCGCTCTTGCAAACCGACGTATTTGCCATGTACAGTAGAGGTCCCTGTTTAGTGCCGATTGTATAGTGCCGGTTGCCGGTGTAGTGCTGGTGTTTTCGGCTCGCACAAACTGGAATATCAAGTCGTTCTGTACTTTGAATAGTGCCGGTGCCCGGTATAGTGCCGGTGAAATTTTTGCGCACACCCCGGCACCAAATAGGGACTTCTTCTGTACTACCAATGGTTGGTGACAGGGAGAAGACTGACACGGTGTGAACGACTTTGCTTCAGAAACACCTCGTTCGATAACCCCATGGCCATTCCATTTGAATCAAAATAATCCATACATCGACCAGATCAAATCCCCAGAGCTTGAGCTACATTACTAGTAGCTGTTTTCCCGCACGTGTCCCTTGTGACATAGGTGATGGGTGAACTTATGGGGCAGCTGTTCGGTAGGGCACAGGTGATACGTGTATGCTTTCCACTACGTAAACACGATGTGTATTGTTGATGTTTGACTCTAGTTCTGGGTGGACTCTTACAGTTGGATGCGTAAACAGAACGATTGCGCTGGTCTACCTCCGGAGCATATCAGAAGGTATCCTGCGAAGAATCCGAATGTTCCTTATCCTCCAGTCCCTGCCACAAATGGTGCACTGGAAAAACCTTGCCGCAAGAACAAAAACAATTACAACTATAATACGACCAACACTAATGTTGAATCGAATATCGATCGCTGTTTGCTCTCATCAGTCCCACGTATGCGTACATGCAAACCCCAAATAGACTGCTGTACATATGTCGTACGAGAGCTACACGTTTAAACCTACGCGTTTCGAGAGCTACGGGTCGCACCCTGCGGGTGAAAGGTGGGTCGGAATTGTATCATCTAGCCATGTTTGCCCCAAGGTGACCTGTAGGACATACATCGGTGATCAGCGCATTGCATGGCGCTGACGATAAATAGGACATGCGTGATCGGTATAAATCAGGTGTGGGAGGATCACAGCAGTTGTAGTGATCGACGGTGGTCGGGATATCGGGTGTAGCTGATAGATACTCTATACGGAGCAATAGAGGTGATCGGTGTAAGTTTGCCCGAGGGTGATTATTATAGTCTAACCGAGCGTAATGTCAGCTGTACTGTTTCTGCCAAGAGTAGTGAGCCATACGTAGGGCAGAGATAATCGTCATAATATTGCCCAACGGGTGTGATCAGTCGGTCATACGCATACGTGGGTGATCGATGCAAGTCCACGTGCCCCGGGCTGGAACGGGTGAGCTACATCACAAGACTACTTCTGCATGTTGCTCATGATCGGCTGTCAGACGTGAAAACTTGCCACATCCACGCGAGAAGAAGCACTACAACTACAATATCACCAGCTTCCTTCCGAAACGTATCTGCATCAAACGCAGCAGCAGGAGGCCGGATGGAACACGCGCAAGATGTAACACCACACCATCACCTGGATGATCTTCTTTTTGCCGTTCTGGATGGTGGCATCGCGCGAGTCTCGGCTTTGCCCAAACCTGCCGCGGCCTCTGGCGGCGCCGCCCCCGCTGGGCCGACCTCTGTCCCCGGACACGAACTGCCCAACGACGTTGGAAGAGCCGCCGGACTCGCTAAACTGCACGGAGGAGACGATGTTGTTCTCCTGGACTACGGTTCCGCACTCGGCGCACGCCCGGTCGCCCGAACCTGGCTGGTCCATGAAGTTGGTGCCGCCACACGACGGGCACCGTGTCCCGCCGTCCTGAGGTGCCGTCATCTGCGACTTAGGCACAGGCTTCCGGTTGAAAGCCATGGCCATTGTTACTTCTCGCTAGCTTCTCCTTTTCCCTCCGTCTGTTCGTCTCTGTCTGTTGTGTGTCTCTCTCTCGACCCCTCTGCTCATGTGGTACGTGGTGGCAGGGTTCTTGTGGCGGTCAAAGTGAAGCGACTCCTGTCTTTGTGGTGGGCCGACGGAGACAGTCTCGCTCAGGGCGGCTCCGTAATGTAGAAATGTACATACCCTGTATCAACAGGTCCCTTGCACTCACGGACTCCCCGCTTGCTGCTGCCAAACGAACAACCAAGCGCACGTCAAGGGCAAGGGAGACGGGTTCCACGCAGCCTCATGGACCACCACCAGCGTCCTTCATCCCTTCCGGCTCGTCAGGGATCATCGCGGTGCTCTCGCTTGTGAAGGGGTCACTAGTGTTTCGTGACAGCCGCCCTACTGGTGAGCACGGCGGGTAGTGCACATCTTGTGGAGTACAGCAGATCGACGACCCTGCGATTGCCTCCGCAGCAGGAAAAGTGTAGCTGCTGTTTCTTGAGGTGCAGTGTGTGTGTTGCAGGCCATGTGGATCAGGCACATCCACCCTAAACCGAACAACAGAGCCGTCTCGTGTTGTCAGTACCCTCGGAAGCGCCAGATGCTTCGTGAGGTTGTCTCTTTCGCGAAGGGTCGACATCCATCGCGCTGCTGCAGCTTCTTTTTTCGTTCCGGGGCAACATGCATCATGTATCCGTTTGGCTTCGTTTTTCTCGTATGTCCCTCCGCTCACGGTACTCCTCCACGCTCACGGCTCCTCGAGCGAACGCCCAACCCTGTGCGGAGGTGCTTTACGTGACCAGTTCCGTGTCGGTGGTATGTGCCCCATTCAAATGCCTGTCGTCGCTTGGACAACGCCGAGGATATGTTCCGAGAATCAATCAAAAACTCAAACACGGTGGTGAATTAGTTGCCAGAGGGCAGCGCCAACAACAACCATCGGATGCACAATCAGCAATCAGCAGCTCTTCGTGTCTGGGCCTAGTGGGCTGTGGGGTTTAATGTCGTCGATTTCTGTCCCTTTCTACCGCAGTCACTCAGGTCTCACACAGCCAGTGCTTGGCAATCTATTTATGTCTGTTGAGTATTTGTTCGTAAGGGAAACACACACATGGGTTTTGAATATCGCATCTTGGTAACATCTTCGGTTTGCAACTTGCCAACATACAGGCAGAGTACACCCAGCACATGCGTAACGGCTGTATTTTTTGGCATGAAAGCTCTTCTTCCTCCTCCACAAGCTTGCGAGTGTACCGCAGTCTGAGTCTTTCCCGTTTGTTCTAAACGTCTAAATAAGCGTAATCACCTGTGTTTCCGTTTTCCCCATCACAAATAGTCTTAGTTGCGTACGCAAAACACGGGAAACAGAATTACAAACAACAGCCAGGCGACCTTCGTATCCGTACGAGCCTGTACCATAGGACTTGCTGGCAGAACCCGCAATGCGACATTGGTCGGCATCGCTGATAACCGCAGTGAATTGTGGTGCCTGTTACTACTGCACGTATGCGGGGATGCTGTAAATTGTTTTCATGCCGTCTTGTAGATGCACCTTTTGCATGGCATAGTGGGGTACCGTAGGGGCACTAGCACGAAGGGCAAGACTGGCAGGGCGGCGAGTAGAGCGTGGTTTCGTCGCGTCGAGCCTGGTTCAATGGTTGAAGACAATACAAACAGCAGTATCATACTCGTATGCATAATCGATCTGGTTTTGTGGCGAAGTATTACTGCTGTGCCAATGCCATGTGACGTTGAACCGGCCTCCCACACGGCTGCATAGCGTGCAGTGGGATAGTGGGTTGCAGTCCAGGGCAACTACTTCGAAGTGTTTCTCCCAACCCACGGCAGTAAGCATACGCGTTATCACCTGCGTTGCACCTGATAGAAAAAAGTTTCGTGTCTCATGTCTCGCCTTCAGGTAGGGCTCTGTCGAAGAAGGACGGCGAAAAAGACATGGCGGAGACGTACCCGGAGATCCCCGCGATCCTGAGACCCACCGACCGTAGCCCGCCGCCGGACTTCTTTCCAGTGTCACCGGGCACCGCCAAGGCCAAGGCGGCGAGCAAAGCGGCGGCGGCGGCGGCCGGCGGCGGCGTCCCCCGTACACAGCAGTCGAGGAGTCGGAGCAGGAGCGGCGATGACGAAGACCGGGAGGAGTACATCAGAGTCCGAAAGATGGCGGAGGAGGACGACGACGATGAGGACGACGAGGACTCCGCGGGGGAGGTGAGGTCCGGCCGCCTTGAGACGCTCGGCTGGGTGTCGGCCTCGTGGGAGCCCCGCCGCGTGATCCTCCGGACCGACGGGTCCATGTCGGTGGAGCCGCTGGGGGCGGGGAGGGGGCGTAGGCACGCCGGCGGGGGGTCGCTCTCGGTCCACCACCACCACCACCGGTACAACAATGGGGAGGGTGCGAGCGACGCATCTGACGGTGCCCCCGGCTCCTCCAGGGCTTCCGACACCGCCGCCAAGGCCGCCAAGGCGCTGGGGGGGCTGGCGCCCAACTGGAATGACCCCCCCTCGCCGCCCAACTGGGCCTCCATGGTCAAGTCGAAGGGCGGCGGCAGCGGCGGCGGGGGGGGGGGCAGGAACGACAGCG